GGTGAAAGTAATAGGTTACCTGAAATTCCTATAGGATTTACGTGTCATGTTGATGATAATGAACAAGAAGTTCTTCCATCAGGAAATTGTCATTTTGTTATTAAACACCCTAGAAAATACAAGATTAAATATTATGGAAATAATATTCTTGAACTTGAACCTAAAATAAAATCTTATAGTATTAAAATTTGGCTGTTCTGATATGAAGCAAGCAATCATCATTTTATCATCATAGACCAAGACATTCTTATAACTCTGAAATAGTTATAATACCTGAAAACAAAATTTTTTTATCAATTACTTTATTCGAATATCACGGCACCTTTGCAAACTGTTTTTGCAATAAGTGTGGTGGCGATCGACTTTCACTCTACACTTGTAAGGGAGCCTCCCTTACAAGTGTAAAGCGAAATTCGACCTCCCCCACACTCATTACAAAAGCTGTTTGCAAAGGTGCCGTGATATTCGAATAAAGTAATTGATAAAAAAATTTTGTTTTCAGGTATTTATAACTATTTCAGAGTTATAAGAATGTCTTGGTCTATGATAAAATAATGATTGTTTAGAACACTTTTATATTGTTTTTATTTTATACTCTACCGTATTATTGATTGAACTGGTGATAATGAAAATAGATTTTTATTAATTAATAACTCAATGAATTCAATAAAGAATCTGATTGGCCAATCTGATCAGACAGACCAATCAGATTCATTATTGAAGAAGGTGCTAAGAACGCCCTAAATCAAATTTATTTGTTTGTTCATGTATTCATATCCATAAGTGTTCATAAATGTACATACACTTAGTATTTATTTTTTGTGTACCTACTGATAGACCAATATGGATTGAAAAATATTAGTCTGTTAACGTTAAGACCACTATTAACATTTTTAAAGTAATTGATTTTAAAAATTAAATCGATTATTAATTTTATGACAAAATTGTAAAACGTTCGTGTTTATATTACCCCCTTTCAAAAGTGGGAGTAATGCTAAAAAACTAATTTAATTATTAAATTTAATAAAGAAAATGGTACAAATATTAAATTTTCAACTTCTTATAGCAAACATGCCAATCAGAGAAAAAAAAATCAATGTTTCTGTTCGTGAACTTTGTTTCTTTATACCTTATGCAAGTGCCAACATATCTAAAGTAGACATCAGTTAATTTAATTATACGACAGAGTAGAGATGTGAGCTATAATTTACAATTAATATAAACTATAGTTTACTCTAAAATTGTATTTAAAATAAACTACATTTTACTAATAGTTTTAGTTCGCATCTCTATGAAAGAAGGGTCTTAAGACAATAGACTAATTTTTTCTATTCTAAACTGTTATTGGTTTATCAATATGAACATGTTTACGTACACA